GCAGCGTTCTGAGTGTTCATCCCGCACGATACAAGTACATTTGTGCAGTTCCAGTACAATCAGAAATCAATCTCTCATTTCAGATCCGTGACCTCCTAACTTTGATCCAAACCAGTCCTGCGGGCACCAATCACGTACGGTTACCATGGTTACTAGAAGAAACTGAAAGCCAGCAAGTAATTCTGTACAATGGCCGGCAGGGGAAGTTGACGCACGTGTTGCTCGGATAGCCTCATATCTTTGCGGAGTGTTGTGCGGCACATGTCCTGCAGGCTGGGCACCACGTACATGTGGTTCAGCGGCTTGATCAGAAATGGACGGACGCCGCGCCGGTGGTGCTGGTCCCGCGTCAGTGCCTGCGCCCAGGCTATGAGGTCTGGAATGGTGGATTGCATGGTGCCCCAGGCAATCTCGTCCGGCGTGGGATGCCGCGGCAGCTCTGCTGGGTTGTAGAACGTATAGCCTGCCTGATTGTCAAACATGTTGATAGGGAAATGCTCCACTTGCCCGTTGACAACGGCGGACACAGAATACAAATGGTGCAGGTTGGATGAGTCATGTACCAGGAATGTACCCTCGGATTTGTCCGTCAGAACTTCAACAGCCGTGTCTTCATTAATAGGTCCCCAGTAGTAACCGCACTTGTTCAGTGCCAGCATATCCAGCCATAGCTTGCTGGGCTGGTTTTCCACAGGCTCTTCTTCGCCAGGCAGAGGAGGAACAAAGGCAGGAATGTCCACTGTTGCCTGCTGCTGTCCCGGGGTACCATCACCCAAAGTGCCGGCTTCCCCCGTGTCCTGCTCGTTGTCAGCTTCTTCTGGACCGTCCAGGTACAGGCGGGCGGGCAGCGCCGGTGGCAATTCTTCTCCATTTGCTAACAAGGTTGCTTCATCGCTGCTTTGCTGTCTCATTTCATTGGCAGAGGCGCTCCGACCCGCATCAGCTCTGTCATGTTGAAACAGTTGGTCGCTGGATTTCACTCGCCGACTGCCAGGTTCTTCTGTGTGCATGACGAATGCTATACCAGTTCCGAACTCCTGCGGCATAACCAGTACATTCTCCAGAGACTTGGAGACGCGCAGAGGCTTTTTCAGCGGCGGCATCTGCCTCGTGGCACCACCATTCACGTTGCCACTGTCCCGACGATCCTGTTCATTTGCAAAGTGTATTTGTGGGTGAGAAGAATGATGACGAACGCGACGGGCTAGTCGATATAGGAGAGTCGGTTTAGACTGCTTACTAGAATTTTGCTCTCCGCCAGAAGAGATATTCTGGGATTCAGGGGAGGCCCTAGCACTAGTAGATCCTGCATCCTCGAGTCGCACTCGATCATACGGAACTTCAGCTGCTCCCACAGACTGCTGCCCGTACCTGATCTCAGTGAGTCTCACCTGCGCGTACGGGGCCCCGTCCAGCCTCACCTGGTCATACGGAGCTTCGACCCCCGCCAGCGTACCGTCACTGGCTGCAGCGATTGGCTCCACATACCGCTGAATCGTTGCAGCAGGCTCGCTGGCGCTACTGCTTTCTCCTCTAGTTGCAAAAGGTAGGCAGCGAGGAGAGTCGAAGAGTCGTCGATGTCCATGACCAGAACGACGATGGGCTTCACTCTCTGAAGAGTCTCTCGACATGGCTACAAGGCGCTCCATCTCCAGTCACAATGCCAAATTCTTCTATTGCTATATAAATAAAGTATAATAATTCGTTCGCGGAGTAAAGCTACATGTACTTGGTCCACGGTCCACGCCTGGCTACTATCGATAGGATAATAAAAAAGAACTGAGTTCAACGTCCGGCTCACTATTACTACTATCTACTAGGATGTGGTCGTGCACGCGTGGTGTCTGCCGATCAAAGAGAAAACATGTTTACAATCCCAGGTCTCAGCAACGATACTTGTAATGAGCCCGCTAGAAATCTATGGCGCACGCTACTAGATCAACCTAAAACTACTCACCACGAAGACTAACGTGTACGTACAAAGAAAAGGAAAGCAAACTGACAGTACTCGACTGCAGCAACAATGAGCTTTTCAATCAATCGAATAATATTTTTCTCTTTGGCCTGCATCGATCTCCCACTGCACTCCATCTCGCGCGGAATGAATTCCGTCACGCTGACTGGGTGCGCTGCATCTGGCACTCAACGTCATCACTGACATCAGGTCATTGTAATTATTTTGTAGTGTCTTCGAAGCTTCTGGCCTGCACTGACTTGAATGATGTACTGTCACTGAGTCTGTCTGTAGATCTACCCAAAAGGCAAAACTGGCAAAACTGCAAAACTAACTATTACATGTACTAGTAATAGTATTACTAGTATTACTTGCCAAAAGGGCCAAAGCCAAACTGCAAACAGTAAGCCATGATTGGTAAACTGCCAAAGGGCCGACTACCGGTGCACCATGCATTGCATTCATGTCTCTTTGACGTTTTTGTGTCTTGCAGCAGCAGCACTCACTGACTCAGTACAGCTTGCACCAGTTGTAGATCTACATGACTGCACTACAGTCAGTACAAACAGACAGTAGACCAGATTCATGCGACCAAGGCCGGAGCTGATCTGGGTCGTCACCGTGCACCGGCGCCATCCATTAGTCATAGGCTAGGCATCAATCGATTGTGCCCAGCAGAGACTTTCTGAGTAGTCTACATAGCGCTATCACAAAAATAATTATCACTCTCTAGCTCTTAGTATTGACTCCCATTGATTTTCACTATACCCTAAGCAGTCAAATATTCCTGCTTATACCTCACTCCATATACCCTTACAGTCTTAGGCATGCTCTCCCTTAGTGGTGTATATGTATATACATGTAACAAGGGACCTCGTGTATATCGAGAAATATAGACCAGTATAAAAACCGAGGCGAAGCCGAGGTTTTTATACTGGTCTATATTTCTCGATATACACGAGGTCCCTTGTTATAATATATTTATACCTCTCCATGCGCAAGCTCAAGAGCAAAAAGGAGTGAATATAGCTTTCTTTCCCTAAAAAGGAGTGAATATAGCGTTAGAGAGAAAGCTATATACACTCCTTTTTAGAGAAAGAAAGCTCCTCAGTGGTTTTTTTCTGATGGTTTTCCTCAGTGGTGTACATGTATATACCTCCTTAGTGGTGTATATACCTCCTTAGTGGTGTATATTGAACAGTGTATATGGAAATTTATAAACTTCATGGGAGATCTGGTATATGAGTGTGGGTGTATATGGAGTGAGGTATAGGCCTTGGCGGATAATGCTCGAAAAGGTGGCAGATTCTGCTTTTTTTGCACCGAAATTGGCAGAACCATACAAACCTTATGGCGGGCAATTCCTCGAATTCTGCTCCATTTCTTTATCCACATACCAAACATGCATGAAACTTACCAGAAAAAGTACCGAATTCTGCCAATTTTTCTGCCGGCATTATCCGCCAAGCCCTAGTGAGGTACATGTATAAATCTCCTTATGCGGACCTTTCATACAAACTTCCAGTCAACTAATGTTACTTGCCCATCATGCTGGGCATATAAACCTCATACCTCATACAAACCCCATACAAACCCCATATAGACCGCCACCATAGAAACAGGAAGAAGTTGACTGTCAGTTTGTATGAAGGTCAGCATAAGTATAATACATCCCACTAGTACGCTTGTACGTGAAATATAAGTAAAAAGTAAATTATCGTATCCGTTCCCGAAGGGAACTCACGACAGCCGCTAACACCCGATAAACCCTGCGAAATATAAACCATCATACAAACCTCGGCTTCGCCTCGGTTTGTATGTAGGTTTATATTTCACGTACAAGCGTACTGTTGGGTTGTATTACATGTATATACTTATATTTGACTGCTCTATTGGGTTGCGCAGTTGAACGGTGCCTAGTTCAGCATGGTCACTATATGAGTAGGTGATCATGGTGATGGTGCAACGGTTGTGCAATTATAAAACCGGGATTCATGAGATTTTTGTTCTGGAATTGAAATACGGACTGTTTGCCGTGATACATCTATAATAAATTGACTTCGTACTTGGTCAGTATAGGAAATAATAACCTCGTAAAAGACCTCGGCTTCGCCTCGTTCTTTTACTCGGCTTTTATTTCCTATTGACCTCGTCCTCAGTCAATATTAGATACATATTTAAAAATAATTATTCTGTGTTATACTGTCACTTATACAGTAAAACCTGGTTTAAGCGACCACCCCACGCCGGTGCAAGCAAAAGCGGTGGTATTTAGAACCAGGTCCCACAGTGTCTGTGTAGAACTGTCGGTGCATGGAATAATGGTCGTTAGGAGCAGGTGGTCGCCCCAGAGGTCGCTGACACCAGGTTTTACTGTAGATCAGCTACGTAAACCATGTAATGGCCACGGGCATGGTGGCAATGGTAGACCACGAGTTGATGATCTGAACTGAAGTCAGAGAATGTTGTCGTGGTGCGGGGTCTGCAGGGTCACAATCATCAATATTGCAATGTACAGTCACGGTATTCGGGCAAATATTATTGTGAGGAGTCGATATCCACACTAGACCTAACTCACTATTACGAGTCTTACAAGTTTACACTCAGTGTCGCTCTGTGCTGTACTTCGAGGAGGGAGCTGTTTTTTTTCTATTTACAATCACGCACAGCCTGGAACTCCAGACATGTACTGCGGCTTTTTCGACCTCCTTACTTAGCTAGGTCTCAGGTCATGACTCTCATCAGCAGCTGGGCACAGAGTGACTGCATGCCCGATCCGGTGGGTATGTCCATGATGCCTGCGGCACAACCACATACTGTACGATACTGCAGTCTGCAGCGCTTATTGGAGACGGTATACCAATACGACCCAAATGCGAGCTTTATTAATGAACTTATTAACATTGATACCGGGGCAAGCCACATTGTGCTGGCTCTTACAAACTCGCTATACTTCATGGCACTGAGCTCCCCGCCTGTCACAACAAAGTGACAATCAGCCAGACCAGGATCAGCCCCACACTCAAGGCACAACTGCAACAGTCACTACATTGGCATCTTTATTCTGTTATTGTTATACTGTACTGATGCAGGGTATGTTGCGAATACGTAATTAATAAAATCAAAAACCATGCACCCCATAGCAGAGATTCAAATATCAAGCAAATAAAGCTATGGTTACGACAACCATGGATACAGAGGCGGGAGGTACAAAAAAGGACATGTAATCCAGAAAAAAACAGTCACCACGCCACTTTATTGAGCTGCTTTTCAGATTGAACTAATATTGATGTTCGGACAAAGACCTAACATGGATATCTCACCGGGAGATACCCATTCATCCCGTGCAAAAAAAATTAAAAACAGTGGTGGCAAATACTGCAGGCGACCAACAAGCACCGTGCACGGGCATCACTATGGCCCAGTATGTGCAAACACAAGGTGAATACTGCACTCTACAGTGCTGCATGTACATGTACGTCACCAAGATAGGAGAGGTCCATTGTGCATGGCAAGAGCCAGCAGCGCACCAAACTTAGCACGAATGCCAGTGTCAGTGCATGGATGAATGGCAGGCTGCAGGTAATTATTGGTTCTCAAGAGGATCACACACAGTGCCCTATCATGTACATGTACAACGTAAATGTTTGGTATGAGAACAATTCAGTTACAGTCAAGGACGGGTGCAGGGCAGATTGTGCCATTGTGTCCCATTGTAGATGAAGCGCAAGTCTGGCTAAAGCTATAATTATAGCGAACCATAATAAAACGTTAACAAAGCCATGATAGGCATTACTCCATGTAGTGACTAGACAGTTTGGATATGATGCCTATGCAGACACACACACACACACACACACACACACACACACACACACTGTGACCAACACTATACTGGAATTCCTATGACTGACCAGTATTCACACATGTTCACCAATAAATGTCCTGCATTACTGTACGTAGAGTTATATAGAGATCTAGTGCTTAGTTTTACGAAGAAAAACACAATGGCTTGGGTGACTCACGACATCAATGGCCGACTATCTGAAAACGATGTGTCGTCTTCGTCCTCCTCATCAGGCACCGTGGCTGTGTTGGCAGCGGGGCTCTGAATGGAGCTGTACGGCGGCGGGGTCGGGAAGTTCTCAACACCACCGGCGCTGTCACCTGGATTTCCCGGTCCTATTGGCAGTGGTGGAGGTGATCCATGTACTGAGGAACCAGCGTAATGCACGAACACTGCATAGGTCACATGACAAGAAAGCAGTATCAATAGCTGTATGTAAGCAAAGACAGCCAGCATTCATGGGACCAAAAATTAATACTACAGAGAAAATCAGTTTTCTTATTGTCCACAAACCCCAAACTCCAAAAACGGTCCCTTCACTGCGATTAAAATTAAAATTTACATTATGCCAAATCATGCTTGGGCCTGGCCCATTATCAGGGTAATGAAAAATCTTTTTTTGGAACGTTGAAGCTCCATTGTAGCCCTGTCATCTTTTCACTAAACCTCCAACCCGTACCACATGAACAGTCCAGGGCTCCAACACATACAACAATTGTTTCCAAATTTACACCCAGGAGGACCCTTTACATTTTAGAGGTTTGGTGGAAAAAAGAAAATCCTAAGTTACCGGCTCATCGTAGCGGTAAGTCCCATGAGCATGACAGAGTGATCAGAATGAGCTCAGAATGAATGTGTAACTAGTTTTGGCCGATCAGAGATAAGAGGTAATAGTGGATCCCAAGTAAAGCAGCCCCACAGGCCAACATACGTATCATCTCCCGGGATATGACGGATAGACATTGCTCTATGCTTGTGTGTGTGTGTGTGTGTGTGTGTGTGTGTGTGTGTGTGTGTGTTTAGTTTTTAGTGCCACAACAAAGCTTCTTCATCTCTTACATGCACACTGTTAGCATCCAAGTATAGCAAAGACTGATTACCTGGAGGGGTATTACGTGGATTGAGGCCGGCCTCATCGAGCAAGGTTTGCGGTGGCTGCGGCGACCTGCTGCGTTCCGACTCGTCGTACGATGGCGGTGCAACGATGCCGGCACTCGGCACCCCCACCGACTGATGGCAATGCTGATGCTCGTTGGCGACAAGCACACGTACGGTGCGGCCCCGGCCGCCGATAGCTTGCTGGTCAGCACGCACGCTCTGTTGCGACACGAGCGACCGCGTCCGGTACACAGTGACGCGGCTGCGGTCCGGGCGCCGCCTGCCATACACCTGGCAGCAGAAGCGGATCATCATTGCTAGCAGTGCTACACCGAAGAAGATGAACCTGAAGAGCAACAGAAGCACAGCCGGTCATTGGGTATTGCTGAGCAGCAGTGGGTCAGAGTCATCTCTAGTCTTTTCACTATTTTCGAAATACTTTCAGGACCTTGACGTGTCGTGCATGCTCCTGCAAGGTCTGTGCACAAATGACGTGTCGTGTTTGCGTGCGCAGCTCGTAGTGTCAGGGCTGCACGGGGCCCCGGGGATACAATGCGTATAGATTGAAGCCAACTTCACTGGCAAACAGGCATACAAAAACGCAGGAAACATGTACTCGAAGTAATGGTATCTGAGGCCGGCACTTCATGGGACAGGCTGAGCAGTACATCGTACATGATCTGTATAATGTCACCTGTATCATGTGATCTGTATCATGTGATCTGTGATACATCTTAGCAAGGTGCATGCAATCCGTATGGACTTGTTTGCGTGCCAATGTCTGTGCCGATTGAAAATGTCCGCGTATCAATGAGGTGTACATCTTCTCCGGGGTATGAACTAGTCTACGCGAGTTTCACTGTGCGGTGCTTACAGTATACAAAAAATATAACCAGCACTGATCGAGGACATACAGTGCAGTGCTAGCCTAGAGGTGACTGAGTATACGTACTAGTATATTATTACCGTAATGATCTGACTGAGAAAGAGCTACCAATACCATATACCATTCAACAATTCTTTGTTCCAACGTGTGACCTGTTTCTACATTCTTGGACGTATTTTCAGGGCTGCGGCGGCCATTCCGGAGGTCTGGCAACTGCCGGACCAATGTTCGGGCAAAAAAAAGAAAGAAAAAAGGTCAAGAGGCGTCTGCACAGGATAGGACTTGGAGTGGCGACTCGAGTGCATATAATCAGTTCGAGAAAATGGTGGTTGAAGAAGAAGAGTGCTGTTGATTTAGATGCAGTCGTAGTTGTCAGTGGTGGATGTACGGAGCCAAATTGCACGTTCTTCTCTACAGAGGATGATGCAGCTAGATGAGCTCTGAATGCTTTGGCGTACAAAGTAGAAAGTCCTTTCCCTTGGGAAAAGAAAAGTTGGATCTAAAGGGGATGAGAAGAGTTTTCAAGTGGACTTGTGTAAGTACTGTCCGGTACATTGTACAATAGACTTCATTACAACGTCAACTAGGATGCAGTGTTTTGTTTTGTTTGTAAACAATGTGATCATCAAAAAATTCCTTGCAGTTATGACACGAGGGCTCGTTTTTCTTACCAAAGAATGTACCTACTCTTACTGGAAAGAGGGAATGTCGGGGTTTTGTTAACATGCATTTGGCTAGCGATTGCCAAGGCTCAATATAGGAAGTGCCTGCTCTACAAAGTGCGAAGCATGGCGCAATTGATGCGTACATGATGTGCGTACTGACGTTTTCTAGACGGTTTGGGCCCGGGCTGCATAATATTATATAAGCACATCTGTGTCGTTCCCTCAAACTAGTCAAGATAAGCACATTTACTATGTATGGCATATGATGCCAGTATTTGTGTGTGCTTGTGACAGTGGCGGTGATGGTGTATGTGTGTGTGTGTGGGGGGGTTGAGGTTGGATCTTGCCGGACCCACCAGAATGGGACTGCTATACCATAAGCGCTACGCCTACGGGCCTGATTTTCAAATTCGAAATCATGTAATCCAACAATCAGAAGTCGACGCTCACCAGGGAGCATGAGTATTAGCTATAGGCATGATTACCCCCTCCCCTGGTTCTCTGGTTCTCTGGTTCTCTGGTTCTTGTCAGAGGCCTTGTAGTGACACCAGTTAAATCGTAGTTTGACGTGTGCAAGTAAGCGGCAAATTTGCTACTCCCTGTTGCAACTGCGCACCAATCAATATTACCTACGCCGACTGCACAAGTACAGCAGGTATCGGTTATAGCGTGGGTGTTTGAAAAACGACATTTGATTCTTATTGCCGATATTTCTTACACACGATAAATCACGTGTGACATTATCATTATGCACGTGTGACATATCATATGCACGCACGTTTGGCATGTGGACACGTACACATGATACACGGATCAATCAGACTCGCGGTCGTGCTAGGCGACTGTGGAGCAGCGGATACGAGAGAAGTCGGAAGAAAGAGTCCGACTGGACAGAAAAAGTGATTCTCCAATGCTCCCTTGGACATAACTCTCTTTTTGTGTTGAATATTATTGTATTGAGTATGCACAGAGCACAGATTGTATTACTACAGGCGATACACTTTGCGCTAATCTGGCATATGTTGCCACACAACATCCATTCTTAGGGCCGATATTTTCTACTATGCGATAATACTGCTTGTAAGAATAATTATACACATAAAATATGTGTTATGATTATGAAAAAATGAGTGTTCATTCTTGTAAGCAGTATATTCTTGTATACGACCACACTATAACCGATACGCACTGTACATGTACTGATGGAAAGCATAATGTTCATGGCCACCACATTTCATAAACGATGAAAACCAGTCCGATACATGGTCACCACTACTAGTGTTAAATCTTGTATATGGTTCCTCGATCGAGTTTCCTCTCAAAAAAGTATGAGGTAATCTGCAATTATGTAACGTGGTTGTAAACTTTCTATTAATTTTTCTATTAATTTTTCTCTTCTTTCCGGGGACCATAATGTGCCAACTGTTCTTATGAAGTTGAAGTTTGGTCTTCTGTGGTGCCCTCGCCAAAAATCTGGCCTGGTCGATCGTGTCTAAAGGTGCAACATGTCATCCTCCTACAAGGGTGTTTTTGAGGCCATGAACTGCATGTAAGTAGGTGGACTAGTATGTAGCATTGAGTAAAGTAACGGTCTACACCCAGGAATGTCACTCAGTCGCAGGCCTGCTAAAACGTAAAAGGGATTGGCAAGGTACAGGTGCATGCACCAGTTCTCCGGCTGTTGTAAAGTCAAACGGCATTTGAATCGACCACATCTCGGCTACATAGGTGAAACGAATACTGGAAGTTGTGCTAATTAAATTCGTCTCACTGCAATCGCCCTCTTACGAAGCTCATCAGAATACATAATCATCGTGAAACGTTCTATCGAAACAAGACCGAGTCAAGAGTGGCATGGGCGAATGCCTGGGTGACCAACAGCTACGAAAAGAGAGAACAATGGGATTCATTGGCTATCCTTGCTCCTCGACTATAGTCGCTGTTGAATACTGCTGATAAACGAATGGGTATGTCGAATACAAAAGACATTTCCAAACCACGTATCTCCACCATGAGTTCGTAACTTAGACTTAGACTTAGAGGCTTACCATTTTGTAACATTGCTTTATCGATTTTAGGGGCATACACATGGTGACTGACCTGGGGGACGTCAGCATTCACATAACTTTACTAGTATTAAGTATTATTTCAACCAATTCCTACGAATTGGGATCATTTCAACAGACCTTGCATGACGCCAATATTTGGTCAGCTGAAGCCTCGGTAGGATAGCTCGAGACGGTCAAAAAAGAAATTTCAGGTTGGCCTAGCTCGGCAGACCCGCGAGGAGTGCATAATTTACTCAATTTGTTACAATCATAATGAAAAATGTTACATGCAGATCAAAGTGTGACATGTCGACAATAACCAAAACATTCATCCATCAAAGAAGCAGAATACCGATTTTGAACTGAAAGGCGTTGTGACTTACCCTCCATAGTAATACGAGTAAGCCATTGCGCAGTACTAGCCTCTGTTGTTCTGGCGATACTTCCTTCTTTTCTATGTTGTTGCATCTGTGCGGGGCTTTACAACCGGTTGAGCCGTTCGCAATGCAAAGGCCAAACGCATGCACCTGACTCCTGAGCTCGCTGCGGCCTATCGCTAGCTCGGCAGACCTTGCCCTCCTCCCTGAACGAGGCGATGATCGCAGTACTCTGATCTGTGCTCAGCCGAAACACTGAGCAGTACTGTTATTACTCTTGCCTTTTGGTATGATCACTATCAATGCTATTGCTATGTCCCGAGATCAGCTACCCCGTGACTTCGCGAGAATAATTACACGATCATTTTCGAAACTACCGCAGGGCCGAGGATGCGGAAGGTAACACTACAACACTAGATCGATGACAGTCGACTAGTCGACACAGTCACTGGCTGCATATGCATCGCCATCACTCATCAGCCTGTGTGACATGAGCTGTGCAGTTGCACTTAGCTGTGTAGATTACACCTACTGTGACTCAGCCATGCGCTACCGGTGCACCACTGGCACTGGTCCACTGCCAAAGCATCACTGACACTCGACTACGCTCGACATAACAACAGGGCATAGTAATAATTATACTTTTATAGCTATCAAACTCATAATTATATGTAATCCGGGCCAAGTAGTTTTTGTAGTTATTTCAATATTGTTAGTGCCACAGGCACTGAGTGGAGTCGAGTGTTGTATCAGTGTGTTTAGCCTTTACAAACTGAGGCTTTTCTCAGGCTTTAGGCCATCACATATGCACACGGCACGGACTGTGTTGTCACAGTCACAGTCATAGCGCTGTGACGCCGCTGTCGCCCAAAGAATCCTGAGCCCAATCACAAAATGCAAACGCCTCTTTCCTTCCATGCATTGCACTCTCCCTGACCCTGGCCTGTGTTGTGCGTTCAATCATGTATTTGTAGAAATTCTTGAAATGCAGAGACGTACATGCAAGTACACGCAGTATAGCATGGTATAGTGCACCCCTTCATGAAATAATCAGACATAATTTTGAAGTATGTCTGGTGGCTCGTGCTTGTATCCCAAAAATAATAATCAAGCCACCATAGCTCATGCGAATCACTTGCTCGTCTTGACTCCTTGGCTTGAGGTAGCTGGCGCGAAGACACTGCAACTCAGTGGACGGGCCGCGGGTGGGCCTGCTGCGGAGTGTTGCAGTGAGTCTGTGACTGTTGTATTTCTGCACCAAGTCGGCAACTATCGATACAATCATCATGTATCTGCACCATGTCCATCACCAAGTAAGTACAATGTAAGTACTGAGCTCATGATCACACCACTAGCACTGTCATTACATGCCGGCATACACTGATCTGCGGCAGTTGTAATACTATGGTTTTACAATACCGATGTACTGAACTACTGAAGTACAATCATGCAATTATGCTAGTGACTTTACAATTACATTATACAAGGTATAACATGTCAAGTAGATCTACATGATTGTATCAAGCTTGTACCATGTGTACTGAGGCCCAAATGACCAAATGGAGCGAGTGGCTTTTCTGACAGCCTAGGACATGGTCATGAGTCTCGTGATCTGGTATTTCGTGGTAATTACCCCGGGGGGGGGGGGGGGGGGGGTGGTGAGCATGGGTCGATCTTGGGCTGGGGCATGGACCATGTCATGTGGACAGACAGCAGCAGTTGACCGAGTCAAAATCAAGGAACACCGTTTGTAATGATGGACAGAGGGTAGGCATTTGGTTACACACATTCAAGGTGGGATCATTTTGGCTTGCACTGCAACGTGCCTATAGCTCTGGCAAAGGCTAACTATAATTATACAATAGTGTCTGCTCCAGAGTTGGGGGAGGGGGGACTTGGACCCGCTTGGACAAAGAACCCGGCACTGAAAGTACCGATACGTACAGTACTGTTGGGCGCTGAAGACTGACAGTATTGTAACACTACATGTACATGTACAATTATGTTGTTGTTGTTGTTGTTGTTTTTTATTTACATGGTAAACATGTATCAGCTAAGGTGTAAGGTGTACATCGTGACATGTATCAGCTAAAGGTGTAAGGTCACGGTTTATACCGACTTGCTCAGACTGAACACTTCTACACCATGATAATAAGACCAGGTTGTTACCAGGGTACTGTGTGAACTGAAGCCGGAGATTGAAAACAATACCTAACATCATGGGCACATGGCACAGCGTAGCTAGTAGCAGTAGCACTGTGCAGGCAGACATAGCCAGGAGGTTTGGCAGTGTGGACTTACTACACGTGGGCACTGTGCAGGCAGACATAGCCAGGAGGTTTGGCAGTGTGGACTTACTACACGTGGGCACGCAGGCATGCAGACAAACGCACAATGATCCCTCTCTCTCTCCTAAGTTTAGTTATACCCGCACTGCGAGCGTGACTGTCATTAGTGTGGCAGTAGAGCATGCTGCCGTCGCAGCTGCTGCCGATCTGATAGGGTTGTTCATTCCTGTGACATGGTTATAAATGTAAGTTAGTGTTGCTGTTCATGGAGCCTGTCTGATCAAATGACGGAGAGAAGTCATGATGTGGGTTATTGCGGGTTATTACAATGGAAACAACATCAAACAAAACTACCGATCGAAAACACACACACACACACACACACACACACACACACACACACACACACACATCATCATCATCACCATAGTGGCGCAACATAGCTGATCACTGTTCAAGGCAGATCTAATGTAAAAGAATGGAAATATCTGGCTATAGGGCTGTAGTGCATTTCTGGTATACGAGTTCAGAAGAAAAAAAACATTGCTGAGGAGAAGAGCCTAACTGTCCTACGAGTGAGAAGCCTAGTCAGTAGTTACATGTGTCTAAACGTAAGACTCCTCATCAAACTTGACGTCTTCAAAGACAGGCTGACGGGGCATGGGCAGTTCGAACGCTTTCGTCGTTACTCGTGCAGGCACCGTTGATACTGACGATCGCCGTGTATACAGGGTTGCACTTACCTGGCCGTCAACAGTTCGACTGACAGCAGCTGCACCGCGTGCCTTGCCGAGCGAGCGCGTCTGCTGCTGTGCAAGGAACTTTTCATTCGGGCTCAGGAAGGCCGTCGCGGCGGGCCCCTCGTCTGAATCGTCACTGCCGCTATCGCTGCTGCTATCGTCGTACCTCTGTGTGGCCGTTTGTTGCACTCGTATGGTAGGTCTGCGTGCTGATGCTGGTGAGTTGTCGCTCTGGGATGCAGCTGCATTGCCAGCAGCAGCAGCAGTACTAGCCTTTGTAAGACCCAGTCGTTCGTGCAGCACAGTGTACAGGGCGTCATCGTTGGCAGCGACGCGAGCGGCAGGTCGCTGCGGTGGAGAGCTTGCGTACTGGGACATGCTCTGGTCAGCGGATGCTGCTGATTGTGCCGGTTGTGTTGATTGCGCTGGAGGTTGGGCCTGCTTGTTCTCATTGTCCAGCTCGGGATTGTCCAGAGAGTACCAGTGCCTTCCCATGCTGCGCCGAATGCGCTCAGACTGTGTTTGGTCCACCTCTCTTGTTAGCCGGCTGGTTGTTGAAGACATCTTTGAGCTATGGGATGGTGTGGTCGGTAGGGAGGCCGAGTGGAAGCCAGTCGGCGGCAGTGAAACACTAGAGCGCTTGCGATCTTGATTCTTGCCATGCGATCTTACGCTGTAGATTTCATAGAGCTCCTGCAGGCTGCGTGTACCGGCGGCGGCCTCAGCGTCCAGATCAGCTGCTGTTGCGTTGCGATGTGGCATGCCCGGTGACCGGCCCATGGCCAGTTGATCGACGAACATAGACGCGGACGAGTGTAGCTTGGTTCTCTGTGAGCCGGACGATGCAGTGTCCGCCATGCTACCGCCACCCGGCGCTGCCTGCTGGGCCTCCAAAGCGCGCTGCTGCGCCTGTCGATGTCGATACACCACCAGGCGAGACCCCGCCGGGGAGTTGGTGCTGACGGCGGTGTCAACACTGCCTGCTCGCCACACGGCAGCATTGGCACGTGCCACTTGCCCCGGGCCAGGCGGTATGTGTGCAGTGCTGCGTGGGAGCTGGGGTGATGAGCTCAACGCCATGCTGCTATCACCGGCAATGCCACTCACTGCACTGATACTGGACAGCGATTCGCCGCCGTTGGTAACATCGCTGCTCTCTCCCATGCTGTGAGCGGCAAGGTGGGTTGTCGGTGTGTGCGTGTCGTCGTTGAAGAGAAGTGGTGTGCTGCTGGAGAACATTCTCGAAGTTGAGTGGTTCATGGCCATACCGGACGGTGCTGGCTCATCATCAGCTAGCTCATCGTTGCTAGATGAAAGCAGTGTGGATCTCAGGTTGGGATCACTCACCGCATGCTGCTGATGATCGGGACTGAACTCTGGGCTCTCCAGGCCCTCTTCCAAGCCCTCGAGCTTGGTACGTTCCTTGATGTCGTTGGCCGCTTTCACCACAACTGGCGTGTCATAGCCGTCAAAGATTTCATCGATATTCTGCACAATGAACTGAATGAGGGGTGGCACTTCATTCTTCAGGACCTGCATATCATCGGCTGGCGATAGAAGGCTGGGAGACACGCAGATGGCCACATTCTCGCTGTGCATCTGATTCACGGCATGGTTTTCAGCAATCTTGGCCAGAATGACGAAGAAGTTATGCAGCAGCAACTGGTTGGCCATCGGCAGTCGCTCAAGCATCCTAGTTGTGTGAAAACCAATGAAGAAGAAAAAAGAGAGTGAGGAGGGAGGGAAGGATTGGGGGGGGGGGGAGAGAGAGAGAGAGAGAGAGAGAGAGAGAGAGAGAGAGAGAGAGAGAGAGAGAGAGAGAGAGAGAGAGAGAGAGAGAGAGAGAGAGAGAGAGAGAGAGAAGGCGGGAGGGAGAGAGGAAGAGAGCCTGAGAGAGGGAGAGGAATAGGAGAGAGAGAGAGAGAGAGAGAGAGAGAGAGAGAGAGAGAGAGAGAGAGAGAGAGAGAGAGAGAGAGAGAGAGAGAGAGAGAGAGAGAAGGCGGGAGGGAGAGAGGAAGAGAGCCTGAGAGAGGGAGAGGGATAGGGAGAGAGAGAGAGAGAGAGAGAGAGAGAGAGAGAGAGAGAGAGAGAGAGAGAGAGAGAGAGAGAGAGAGAGAGAGAGAGAGAGAGAGAGAGAGAGAGAGAGAGAGAGAGAGAGAGAGAGAGAGAGAGAGAGAGGACCAACAGACAGACAGAGCAGAGTGAGAAAGACAGAGAGAGGGTTAACTAATCGGTGTGGTGGGCAAGTCCCTCCGACAAAGTATTATCTTCCATATCCAGGTATGCAACAATTATCGATACTTTCTCCTTCACTGTGCATGTTCTTCGGCTTTTACAGTACCCAAAAGCCACATGCAAGCCCTGCATGACATGCACGTACTCACCTCCGCACTTGCTTCACCTTCGCAGCATCGCCTGAAGGATCGAGGCAAGCCACCCACTCCGTGTACAAGTCACCATTCAGAATGTATCCCGGAACGCTTCTCAAAAATTCCTGCAAATAGATAGGGGTGGGGAGGGAGCATAAAATTAAAAGAAAAAGGAATGAACATTTTGAAAGGCAGCCTTACGATTATTTGTATCTAACCTGACGTTTAGTGATCAGAAATGAATATTATTTGGATCGGCAACAATGCCTTGCTGGCATTGGAAGTAGCATCAAAGAGGGTGCTCACAACGAGATCACAAAACAGGCAGTCAGAACTGAAGCAGAGCGACTTGAAGTACCTACCAACCAACAAACACCATTCTAACCTTTATCAGCGCCCCGATACACAGCACCGGTGACCCAGCAATGTCTGGTTCAAGTCCTGAAAAGAACAGAAAACAAAACATACATCCGCCTCGCATCATTGAAGCAGCAGCAGCGCCTGGAACGCACCCGCAGTGCAGGTAATCATCCGGGGCTTACAACTACGAGCGTGAATAGTGTTTGTTCGACCTGTATTGACTTATGCAGTACACCAGTGTGATCTCAGCTCAAGTACTTGTACTTGTAACACACAGTGACACCTGTCTAAGACGACTGCTCAAGGGACCTTCAAAACGTGGTCTCTGTCGCCAGGTGGTCTCCTTATCCAGGGTAATTTGGCTGGGAGTAGCGGCCCTTGGTCCTGATTGAAGTGGTCTTTTTTTTTTTTTTAACTTTCACAGGTTTCACAGTACAGTATATCTATACTGAGCATGAACCTAGTCTACCATAGTATCGACCTGACTCAGTGTAACGTCACACGTACCTCGGTCAATGTCCTCGCGCAGTTCGCGCACCTGTCGGGCGCTGGCCGACCTGCGTAGTATGCCATTGGTGTCCGGACCATCCATGTACAGTCGGACCAACGCAATCTGCGCAGCAAGAAGTAACCGTGGAAACACCATCATACACTCACTCACTCACTGACACTCTGGCTGGTAACACTAAGAAACACAGGGAGTGATATGATCAACGACCGCTTCTTGCCATTAGGTGGACAAAGACAACGCCGCAGAAATTTTGGAAAACCAATACCGTCAGCAGTCCAGCCAGAGCACCCAAGACTGCAAGAGGCTTCTTGAACTGGCTGGACATGACGTTCAATGAGACAGACACCTATTCATGTGAGAGAAAAGAGTGACAATGTCAAAAGTGGAGAACATCAGTTTGGCACTGTGACGCCAATTTACCTGCAGCCAGGAAGGAATATCCGGTGAAAAGACCCGCTCCAAGGGCTGGCCAAACGTCCTGCAAATTGGGCATGGACACAAACACACCACTCTGTTATAATTACCGCTGTGATGCTGTCAATGTCTGAACTTACTTATACCTGTGTTTACATGAAGCACAGTGTAACACTGGTAGCATGCACCTGTGTTTACATGAAGGCCCACAGTGTAACACTGGTAGCATGCACCTGTTTCAAGATGCATGTAATATTCAGACCAGCACTCATACCAGAGTGTCATTCAGAAGTCAGGTGGCACGAGAACTGCCAGACAACGATAGCCTTGAGTTCAGGTTAGGGGTCCTTTGAGCCACATTAGCACACGTCTACGAGCAGAGATGCTCCCATGATAAGCCCAAGCTGGGCAAAGGCAGTGTCTGAAGCAACGTCCACTAGGGCTGCATGCACTCACGGAGGTACATCCTCTTCTTCGTCGTTGATGGTCGGGTTTTCTCGGCCTCTGTTGCGCGGGAGAATCAAGTGCACAAGAGTGGAACTGACTGAGCGGCCAATTCCCCGGTTCCTTGCACGGCGACTGCGGGGCTGCTGTTTCTCTCCTGAAGTAGGTACGTAAATACCAAACATAGAGCAGGAGTTTTAAAGTTGGGGGTGGGAAGCATAACACGGAGTTATCTAGCTCCCAGATTTTGAATGTGCACTGAGAATGAGAGCGTCTGTTCGACAATGTAGCCGCACAGAAAAAGGTTCACAAACCTGTAGATAACTGATGAACAGTGATGCAACTGATGAATGTAACTGATGGAAGTGATGAACAGTGATGATTTTGCAAGGAGCAAAATAGGGTACTATAATTAGATCGTCACGAGCCCAAGCACACACCCATGGATACACACACTCCTACATAGTATGCACTGGCAGCAAGACAAGAAGTGGCACACATAGTGACTCACCAGAGAAGTACGGCACACGTGACTGGCATGTTCGCAAGACAAACTGAAACGGCGCGGTTTGCTGCAGCCGGGTATCCTCATTGACGCTGTTGCTGTCCAGCCGCCTTGTGTTCATAAACAGCTTTATGGAGTAGGGCCGCTCATGACCTGCATAGTAGTCACCCATGACATAGACAGACACAGGCAACAATGACCTCCATGAAAGCTACATCTGTCGTGTCCGGGTGTTGCTATCTCAGTATCTGTATGATCGTATTGCTGCTCCTATCAGCTGTTTGCCGTGGCGTCGATGTGTCTCGCCATTGAATAGCGTTATTGAAGAACCTTTTAGCATTCATGCTTTGCTGGCTGGCCCAGATTAGCTGTCACGAAATACAGATATCTACCCTGTTGATCACCATGAATTTGACCATCGTAGTACATCGTAGTACATCGTAGTACATCGTAGTACATCGTAGTACATCGTAGTACATCGTAGTACATCGTAGTACATCGTAGTACATGTATAAGCCAACTTTTATCGGGTGAATAATACCGGTGCTTAAAGTGCGGCTTGTACTCTGGAAGATACGGTAACTGTTGACTTACCGAAGAGAGGAAATGAATTCTCCTCCTTGCCTGAATGGACGGACATGCAGTACCGTGTTATATCATCCTGACAGCAGTCACAACAGAATGCAGAGAATACATTGTTTGGGAATTGCCGGCTCGTTGCGTACATGGGGTCCCTGAGGTTGCTATTGTATCCGAGCCTGCTGCATGCAGGACTGGTTTCTCTCACACAGTTGCCCAGTCTCATTCACTGCACAAACCATGTCGTCTGTTTTCTCTCTCACAGCCAATGCTGTGGAGAGAATGAAGGTCGCAGACATCACCATGTAACATGACACTTACTCGAAATGTAGGTGCATTATATTTTTCCAGAATCGATTTTCGCGCCCACAGTGCTGGAACTATCCCACAAAACGTTCACCGACACTGTTTTCAATACCTACCTCAATCTTCCAGATTTCCAGAGCCATGTTCATTACATCCCTAATCGTGTGCGCAGTGGACACTTCAATGATCTTCTTGGGAACATACTGGAGAGAGAGAGAGAGAGAGAGAGAGAGAGAGAGAGAGAGAGAGAGAGAGAGAGAGAGAGAGAGAGAGAGAGAGAGAAAGAGAGAGAAAAAAAAGAGAGAGAGAAAAAAAAGAGAGAGAGAGAGAGATAGATAGAGAGAGAGAACGAGATGTAGATTGAGTACGTACATGTATGCGTGTGTGTGGGGGGGGGGGGGGGGGGAGAGACACACACACAGAGAAAGAGATAGATACATAGAGTTAGATAGATAGATAGATAGATAGGGAGAGGGGGGGGGGCAATAGATAGAGAGGGAGGGGGAGGGAGGGAGAAAAGAGAGAAAGAGAGAGAGAGAAAGAAAGAGTTTATTATAGCCATTAGTGAATAAACTTCATACAAAAGTGGCATCAAAGTACATATGCCGAGCTCCATAGTGATCCAGGCAATATACAGTTATTCTGTTATATAGCTTGGACAGATAACCATGGTAACGGAGTGATAGAACCTTCTTGCCATAACCATCATCATGAAATGCATCCAATGCACTGATAGTTTGCGGCATGCTGATGTGAGGTAAAGTTAACAATGCTTGCCTGACTTACTGCAGTAGAATTGCCTGTAGCCTTGTTCAGAATGCAAATGGGCACTGTCTGACGCTGGCTCTCCTCACAAGGCTCCTCAATTTGCCTGTAAGCAGTCGGCATAACACAGAATGGATGGCATGTGCATCTACACAAGGTCTCCATGTACTCGTGCCATTACCAGTCCTGAATGACAGTGCAATGTCTCTGCTAAGTAGAACTGAAGCAAATGATGTGTGTGTGTGTGTGTGTGTGTGTGTGTATGTGTGTGTGTGTGTGTGTGTGTGTGTGTGTGTGTGTGTATGTGTGTGTGTGTGTGTGTGTGTGTGTGTGTGTGTGTGTGTGTGTGTGTGTGTGTGTGTGTGTGTGTGTGTGTGTGCGTGTGTAACACTAACTGTCACTTAGCTTGAATGCCAAGAACAGACAGAAGGGAAACGACTGGCCAGTTCGGTTGTGTCTCGCCAGAAATAGACTCTAGTTTAAGGCAGTAGAAACCTTCCCCCTGTCACTGCCACAATACCGGGGGGATGTTTACTAATACCGAGGAGTAGTAATATAGACAAAGCTGCACTGTCCCATTGCTACATGCATATGGATATGATGTTCTAGCACGTGCAATCTTCCCAGCACGATAACCAGGTGCGCATGCTCGCGGTTACGCCAAGACCACAAGTCAGCGTTGTTGGCTTGCCTCACCGGCACAGGTTCCTTCTTGGAGCCCCTACTCTTCCCAATGTTGTGCTGTCCTGGTACTCCTCTCCCCATTTCCTACACAAGTAGGTTTTGTCTTCAGTAAAATAAATAAATAAAAAATGTACACTTACGTCTTCAGCAGGCAGAACCACATCTCTTTCTCCTGGGGTGTGCTGCACACAGAACACAGCAGACAATGGAGACAGTAGAACCAGTAGTAGTCGGTTAGAAGGGCAACACGCGGACAAGCAGACAATGCAACCAGTTAGTGACAGCAATTCCAAATACACCACACAACCCGATATCAATACACCATACAACTTGATATCAAAACTGGCAGCCAAGGTGACGTGGAAACATGACATCTATGATACCGTGACACGCAGAAAACTATGAATGTTAGGCTGTGTTTACATGAGGCGTTTCAACCCGGGTTGAGTTCGACCCGGGTCAAATTTCAACCCGCCATGTACACAAAATGAATGGCGCGTTTACATGATGCGTTGCGCTTGACCTGGGTTGAAATTTCGCCCCGGGTGTCAAGAAAATCGTACAAACGTACTTCTGTGTGTATCTCGCGCCAGGTTCGAACAGCACTGCACATGCAAATTTCGCGCGAACGGATTCACGTGACCATACAGGACTCTAGAAGTGGAGTTTTGGCGGCATATCAGTGTTTGACCCGGGTCAACTGTCTCCATGTAAACGCTCACCTATTTTGTCTATCGTACAGACTTTCAACCCGGGCTGAACTCGACCTGGGTTGAAATTTCTCATGTAAACACAGCCTTACCCTCTTCGCCCTCCCAACAAGCGAGACTTTTCATCAATTTTTTACCATTACACTACACTGTTCTCCTACGTACATATCGTTTTACTGTGAAGTTCTCAATCAAAACATGATACGATTAATGTGAACTGCTGTTTTAGCCCATTATGACAACTCGGATGATCACACCACTTGGTCATGAACTAAGAACGCTACCGACTTGCACTGTAACACGTGTACTCTTTACACATCAACAGTCCACGCCATTGCAGTACAGCCTCTGAATATGAAGAAGCGGGGCCTACAAGCTGATTTTCTCAGTCACTGTGGCATTTGTTATCGGCGCTGGAGAATTTCTAACACAGGGGTGGTCAGTCTGCGGCAGTGGAGTGACAGGTTAAGTGGGTTTTGCTTCGTCTTGGCCAGTACCAGCAGCAGTGAAGGGGCTGGATCAGCACGTGCACCAATGCACACAGGACTGCATCTTACAGCCCTTCACTGCAGGAGGGCAGCCCGGGGCTAGTGCACGTGTTGCTGGCCGTAGCGGCCACACATCAGTGCTGGATTGGTGCTGTAAACACATGTACATCATGCCCTGCTCCCCCGAGTGCCAGCAGCAGTAGCATGTACATCTCACCACATCTCGGTACCCAGTGTTAGAGGTGAACTTGCTTCACAGTACATAGACAGGTGATCACATCTTGGACAAGTGCTAGGGAGTCGAAGGATTACAAGTTTACAACAGCATTGCTCTGGCTCATTGCAGCAACTAACCTGAATGTTGCTACATAGTTTGCAAGCGGCCATCCCATCAGGAAGGAGCAGTGTGGCTCCAAGCCAAAGTCAGAGAGCTCCGTTTGCAGATCCTCCGGACACTGGGCTATCCACACGTCACGAATCCTCTGCCGATCCTTCATGTGAAAGCTGTTTGATGACGTCGTCGCTGTAGCTCTAAGCATACACACAATGCAGCATACAGCCATGTGCATATCAATGCACACATACACACAATGCAGCATACAGACATGTGCATAGCGATGCACACATACACACAATGCTGCATACAGCCATGTGCATATCAACGCACACATACACACAATGCAGCATACAGACATGTGCATATCAATGCACACATACACACAATGCAGCATACAGCCATGTGCATATCAATGCACACATACACACAATGCAGCATACAGACATGTGCATAGCGATGCACACATGCAAAATATCATACATACATAACAACTTGTGTGATTTCAGACGCTTTCAGACACACAGGGTACTCACAGCAGTGACAACAGCATCAATATGCAGTTGGAAACAAGTCCTCTCTAAACCCAATGCAGTTGGAAACAAGTCCTCTCTAAACCCAATGCAGTTGGAAACAAGTCCTCTATAAACCCAATGCAGTTGGAAACAAGTCCTCTCTAAACCCAATGCAGTTGGAAACAAGTCCTCTATAAACCCAATGCAGTTGGAAACAAGTCCTCTCTAAACCCAATGCAGTTGGAAACAAGTCCTCTCTAAACCCAATGCAGTTGGAAACAAGTCCTCTCTAAACCCAATGCAGTTGGAAACAAGTCCTCTATAAACCCAATGCAGTTGGAAACAAGTCCTCTCTAAACCCAATGCAGTTGGAAACAAGTCCTCTAAACCCAATGCAGTTGGAAACAAGTCCTCTCTAAACCCAATGCAGTTGGAAACAAGTCCTCTCTAAACCCAATGCAGTTGGAAACAAGTCCTCTCTAAACCCAATGCAGTTGGAAACAAGTCCTCTCTAAACCCAATGCAGTTGGAAACAAGTCCTCTCTAAACCCAATGCAGTTGGAACGTGTAGATGTGTAGTTACTGTTACTCAGAACCTGAATGCCTCTGTAAGCACTCAAACCAAGCTGTGTGGAAAATGGATCGTGAAAGATCGCCTTCAAAATGTATGTGCAGGTAGGTGGTGGTGGTGGGGGCTCCGGCATCTGCCGTCTCCTTTGGACCATAACATGTAATATCGGATGAGCTTTACGAACTCTTAGCTTGGCAACTCAAAGTCCTCTATTCCATGACTGAGCTATGCTGATGTGGTTTAGCACTGTTTTCGCAGTGACCAGGCTAACTGCATGAGTAAACCCTGTTCTTGCAGTGACCAGGCTAACAAGTCCCTAGAATACTACAATGCCCTCCCTGCTAGCATTCGTGACGTCTCCTCCCGACCTGCTTTCAAACAAGAAATCTGCTCGCTGCTGATTAACTCAATCTGCTCCTGCAGCGCTCACCCTCTCCCATACTTGTAAAGTTCAAAGTGATGTAAATCACTTTCCAACTGTTTAACCCACAATCTCACCTTCTCATATATTTATATTTTATTGGCGATGGTGCCATCGTGAGAATAAAGAATTCAAACTGCATGAGTCAATGAGCCATACTTACTTTCGCTTTGCTGAGAATATTACATCACTGAGCAGGAATAGATAGCGATCTTTCGTGGCACTCTTTGAAATCTGCACACCACACCACGAAACACAGTAATCATAGCACACATTAACGATATAAAAGCTCACATTAATATTATCGATCTTAGGCTGGAGGTAAGTGGGATTTATCATGAAAAAATTGCAGTTGCTTGCAAAGTATGACCTATGAAATATACACATTTTTTGGATAGTCCTGTCCAAGGTACTGTAAATAACCGTTTCAATCTTTACATAACTGCAAGAATAGATCCTGGCCGAGGCGTTCTTGTGGCATCTTCTTATAGGACGTGTTTTAAAAGAGAAGTAGACCCTACTCCCTACAACAAAATACCCGTGTTATGAAGCAGTGGAAATATAGAAGTGCACACAAAAACTCATCGGTAGCAGTATCCAACCAAACTCCCCCGACTATCCATACCATAGTCAACTGGACCGGGCCCTCCTGGATGTAGCGGCGGTTCGCCAGGTTCGGCTCCTGCTTGCTAAGTCCTTTGCTGTTCGGCCGAGAGTCGGTAAGCTGCACATCCCCACAACTGTGTAGCGACAGTGGAAGACAGAGATATTTCTGCTGCAGCCTAGAAGCCATGCTTCAGCAACCATTACTGTCTTCTACTCTATACTTGGGCACACAAGCATTCAACTTCAAAGTCTGCAAGGCCGAGAGGGGTGAAGCAGCCACTGAAAGAAAACTCAGTGTGCAAGAAGAAACACACTTCAACAGCAAGAAAGTTAGATGTGAATGCACTCTACACCAGCCTGAACTGTCTTTTTTTCGCCTCTGACCAAAACACTGCGGCTAAGGAGGGTGCTTGTAGGTATAATACTTCACAAAGGCTACAGGATGGGGTGGTTGATTGTTCTGCTTGATGGTCCGTTACCTTGAGTCAGCACAGCAAAGATGTGCAGAGTGTAGTAGCATGCACTATCTGTAACTAAACTTTCATTTCACTAGAATAAGATACACACACACACTGTGTAGTGGTAAAGAACGAAAAAAAGTTTTTCAACCTTGCAACTTGGAGTACATAGGCTATCATACCTCACAAGGAAGTCAGGTGTTGGAGAGGTGATATTGGAGCTTGAAGTGTTCTTTTTCCGCTTTGTGGGCTACACATCACATACAAAAGACCATGCAAAGTAGAACACTCGTGCAGAAACAACAGCAGGGAGTATCCAAAAATAGGCTCAGCACAAGAAAACAGTATAGTTCCCCTAGGTCACTAGTGTTGCAGCAAATATATTACTTGAGTCACGGACCAGTGCCGCACTTGTCAAGCAACCAGCACAATATCCTAGAGGTGATAATGGCAGACGCAGTGCCATACTATGTACAATAAAGATATTGAGAACAAACGAACTGGCAAAGGCCAGTGGAAATCATGTCACAACAAACGTATAGTTAGTGACGAAACCATACGGGATTTCAAACGGGCAATCTGATGGGCACAAATTAAATCTCAGTGACATCATGAGCATGTCAACAGTGTGTTCAGGTGCATGGCTAAGTGTGGTATGTTTGTAGAACAGCCTATGCACTGTATGAGGCATGCTGCAGTGAATGCAGGACATGGTTTAAGACCAGTTCCAGGTAATTAATATTTGCTGATGGCTGTGGGGACGGGTTAGGGGCACTCACTTGGAAAACATAGTCGATTGGTCTGTTGAGGTGCAGTTGCTGAGTGAAACGCGCTTGCATGTACTCCAGCTTCGCCTGCATGCAGTCACGACAGAACCATGACAGGACAGGTGACACAAACATGATCAGTACCATAGAAGAGCAGCAATTTTAACAGGTGTTAGAGCCGCAGGCATTGTAGAGTAGCTAGATTTCCTAACTACTGCTGGTGGCAAGGTGCTTGCAAGTGTAGAGGATGCTGGGCTAGCTAGTAAAAAAGTTGTTTATCTCCTTGGAAAAGCGCTTAAAAGACGCCGGGGAGCAAGACTTAAACAGCGGAAACTCCCATGCCGAATTCGTCTGTCTGGCTCACAGTTACCAGAGTTGCAACAGTGCTGGCAGACATACGCACAGCTGCTAAGGTTACACACTGATGTACGTTGGCACACTCTTTCAATCTCCGACTACACCATACTGCAGAGTGTCAGTGCAAGACGAAGGCTCAGAGTCTACAGCATACCGTGAGTTAACTGAAATCTCAAGTTCATGGCTGTGGCCGCGGCTATTGAAAAGTTCAGAGCAATGGTATGGTGAAGTTTCCATTTTTACTGCACACCTGCCGGTCATCTCTCCTACAATAATACCTGCCTGACTGCAGTCAAAGCAGCAAAGGAGCTAAGTAGCTGACAGATGCCCTTTAGGACAGGCCCCGGTCTACAATCTTCAACAGCTGCTTGAAATGTTACCAGCAGTGTTACCATGCCAACATTGAAGAATATGTGAAAACGACGCACCTGATTCTCAGCGTTGGACAGTGCTTCTGTCCGTCTATCAAGCAGCTGCAGAGAAAGAACGCATGTCAGGAGATAGCCAATGAGCTGAGTATTCAATACACACAGATTACCGGTCTGTACAGCGTATATCCAGCTTCACATATCTAGTACTAGTACATGTTCTAAATATCTATATATGGAGCAAAAGGAGGTGGTAACGTGTCGGAGAGCGATGCAGAACGGCTCTAATATGGATGAAATGTGTATATAAAGGTATGGTAGCATATTCATTGACCTCTGACATCACCTGGATAACCTCTATCACAGTAGTTTGTTAAAGTTAAGTGTCATGCGCCGAAAATAAAAACCCAGTCACCCACAACTGCACTCTATACTATGTGCCAATTACCGGGAGGTGGTGGCACAATGATTCCTGTGGATGTGGGACATTCGGTCTCAATGAGTCTCATGTGAACCGTAACTCTTTTTATTCACTACGATTCGTAAATGGAGACGGTCTACAGTGGACAACAGCTGCAGTGTATGCGCATACCTGTGATACAGCGTTGGTCACCTTCTGAAGCTCCACTCGGTCGTGGTGGGCATCCGGTGTTGCATACATCAAGTCGCTCAATAGCTTACCGTACGTTTGAATCCGTTGATTCTGTGCAGTGAAGGATGAAACCCGCAAAAAGATATTCTGTCAACCATGATGTCCCCGACAAGAGACAACTTACGTATGGCAGCCAGTGCCACAAGGCAGTGTGTACGCTGTCCACAGAATGGTCAAGTTTACCATCTGTTTGTTTTTTCAGAATGAAAATAGGAGTTAACTGGACGAAAAGAAATTTTAAAAACAGGTTCGGCTCAGCAAAAAAAAGAAAAAGACGTTCACTTTGCACTTTGCACAACCACCTGAAACAAATGGAGTCAATATCAAGACAACTATGCAATCGGTAACGTTTCAACTGACATAGTAACAGCCAAGCATAACAGTTACATCAAAAATACACAGCTCAGATTATTACTTCATCAAAAAGTCGAACTCGTGCTCATTCTAGGAAAGATAGAGAATAAGTACACTGTATTAACACAGAGCACACACCATTGCTAAAACCCACCGGTACTAATAGAAGTGAGTCAAGTGAGTGCACTGCACTCCCTCTCTGTGCAGAGATGAATGCCGTAAACCCGTTGTCGTGCTGACTGCTGCGCTTCTCACGCAAGAGCCTGAGTAGAGTGCCAGAAAGTGAGGGCGAGGAGAGAGAGAGACAGAGAGAGGGGGGGGGGGGCGGATGCGATGGAGAAACAGAGTAAGAATCATAGAAGAACTAAATGCTCTAGGCATGACTAGACAGCAGTAACGGCCAACATGACAAAACACTCAAGTTGTACAAATAACTCTGAAGCATTCCCATGTTGCAGAACACCATTACCTTGCTGCTTTTGTGTAAGAATAGCTGTAATCCTCAAATACTCCAGGGAAATTGGGCTGCCTGTTCAGAATGCAACCTGCACATCAGAAAGCAAGCATTGATTTCAATTTTCAACGCATAGCCAGCGGATATCCATCCAAATGTTAGAGAAGTCTAGTCAACCGTGTGCGACGGCAAGCTAAACAAGTTTTATTATACAAGCTTCATTCAAAACTCAGCCAGTGTTGGGGATTTTTGATGTTTATCAAGCGCCACCGCTTTTCAGCACATATTCTGTAAGGTCACGTACGGCCCGTGTAGGGACATGACAGGCATGTACATGTACAAACCCGAACAACACTCTCCAAATACAGTAATCTGCACAGACATCAGCTGACCATAACGCTAGTGCTCCGTGAAAGCGAACCCAGCAGCACACTGCGATGAAAGCATTTCACGAGATGCAGGTGAGACAATCCCAAACCAGCCACTAAACTCAGCCCCTCCCCGACCGGTCACTAAACTCAGGTTTCGGACTCATGAATATGAGGGACGTAACCTTCTTCTTAAAGAGCTTTTAAAACAAACAAATTGGGAATAGGAGAGAGAGAGTGGAAAGAGGATGGGTAAATGCACAATGTCACCTACGAGGTAGGGTAGGTAAGAGAGAAGTACACCTTACCAACACAAGTCTTCTCTTCATGCCACCGCTCTAATGCATCTTCAAGCTGCCAACAACATACAAGAATTGACAACACCAGAAACGTATTCGTTATAGACATGAGCCTGAGGATGCTCATTGCTACAGGCAGAAATGAAGCATTAAGACTTCAAGTGGTCCATATCAACTGACCACTGCAAGCAGGTATAACCTCTTTCTATGTTAGGGCATTGCGTGTAAGTTCTATAGGAATATGTGTACGATATGCACTGTGATGCTTTAAGAGCGAATTGATATTATAAGCTATATGTGGCTTTCCTTCAGATTTTCACCCTAAAACCTTAGGAGCTAGCTAGCCCGTAGGCATGCAGCCATTGTTAGGTCATATAGCCACGCTTGCAGATGTACCATAGTTGGCAGGTCAGACGCACAATGACTTGCGCATTCTGCATTTATTAATACTAGCCGTGGCATTCTCACCTCTTCAATCAGATTCTCACTCAGCTTGCGTAGCCCATAGATACCGCTGAACAGGGTGTCCTGGCTGACCTTGTGCAATTTCCATTTCCTGCGCGATAGTACACCACATGAGAGTTTCCACAAGTGCAGAGGGTAGACAATATTCCACAGTTCTGGACTAAACAATGTGAAATTGAATATCATTCTATCCAGTAGCCATGTGGGGCTCTTTCACAAATTTGGTGGTGGGGCTGATCTACTCCCCTGATCTACTCCCTCCAAACGGTTTTAGGAGCTGCATCTGTGCCTTCATCCTAGAGGGTGGTGGTGTTCCTACGGATGTCTAACTGAGTCTAACGTTAATGGTGATTTTTTTAGAAACCCTGAGCATATCAACTGGCTTTCCACAAAAAAACTTCTGATATAGGTTCATAACTGACCATGGCAGGGACTCAAAATGAGCTAAACAGGAAACTTACCGTAAACAGAGAGACTTAAAACGGGGACAAAACATCGCGAATTTCGCGAGTCAAGGGTGCACCATGCATATTTGTCCCTGGCGACAAAATCCAATATTTCCTTCTTAATCAACAATTGCAAAGCCTTTCCCCAGTGAAAAGTTACTGAAAACTCTAACACCTTAGCTCTGTTACAGATTTTTTTCCTTGCACTGTAATCAAACATTAGTATGACTTCACACAGAAGCCAATCTAGAAAATTACGGCGGTTCTGCCACTGATTAGTAGTGTGAAAAAAGGAGGACAAAATGTTACGAGTTATGACTACCTGTCTGTCTGGTTACGTTGGTGGACAGTTAGTCATAACTCGTAACATGTTGTCCTCCTTTTTTCACCATAATCCGGATTAGTACTGTAGTGTGCTTACTTGAGCGGTTCAGCATACGTGTCGATCACTAGATTGAGACTGTTGAAATAGATCTTTTCAGATTCCAGTATCTCTTCACCGGCCTTCTTCCGCATTGCTGAATTGCAAAGACATGCACATGCCCATGCCGCCATCACCATATGCACACACACACACACACACGCACGCACACACGCACGCACACGCACACGCACACGCACACACACACACACACACACACACACACACACACACACACACACACATGAACATTTATGAAATCTAAGGTTTCCTGCGCCACGATATGTGTGTTCTGTGAAAAGTAAGTTCGTTTGGGCAACTACTGCTTACTGGGGAAACTTGCCATGACAATTTAACTGACTTCACCATAACGAACATCCTGAATTCCCCACAATTTCTGAAAACTATGTGCTAACAGCATGTCTAAAGTAACTAAGTACGCCAGTTCCAGGAGTTGTGTTGTTCATTACTACGTGTGATGCAAGCATGATTTGCTTACATAGAGGTATGCCACTAGTGCTGCAATGCTTTACCGGGTCAGCTACACTTTTCATGCTGTCATGCTCAGCCTGGATGGTGGTAGTGACTCGATGGCAGGAAGCTGATGATGTCTGAGAAGGAAGACAACACTTCTCAACTAACTGAGCAAGTACTAGAATGATGACTCTTTACCCTGCATCAGCACAATCACAGTGTAGTGTACTGACTGTGTTGACTGCGAGGGAACATGTAACAAACTAGCTAGCTAGCTCTCCAGTCTGACTGAAGCTTGAAGCAGTGGCACTGGTAATGGTACCAATGACTGTGCCTTTAGCAGCTTAGTGGGTTCCAGTAGCAGCTGACAAGGGCAAGCATCACTGCATCAGTCTGCTCAAAACCCAACAAAACAGCTGTGTGTACATGATTGTATTGGTGTAAACTATGTTGAGTAACTCTTCCTCTACCCTGGTCTCTGCCTAGTTTGTTAGTGGCCATGTAGGAGCCTTCCGTACTTGTACTTGTAAGTAATGATTATGTAGAGAACAGGACTGGAATCTACCATGACATGATGATGTACGGTGAGGACTATATTACTCAGTACGAAACCATGATTTCCTCCATAAAACTGCACCGTCTCTGCAGCGTATTATGTACCTGCAGTGTCTTCGATGTCAATATCCTTGCCATCCAGCACTGCTGAAGACTCTTCGCGATTCACCTGCGTTCGTGTCGCGCTCAGTACCACTCGATACTCTTTCCACTGCAGGTCTTGCACCAGAGGCTGAATGAGCGACTCCACGCTCATGCCAGCTCTGCCGAAGAGCTGCAGTGCAGAAATGCACACACAACAGGCACAGGGACACAGTTGTGCCACACACACACACACACTGTCAGACTGATTCCACGAGAAAGACCTCTAGTTGATTTAAAATTCGAACGGGACACGTTAGACGCGAAGATTGCTCACAGAGAAAAGAGAAACCCAAGAAAAATCAAAGAGAAACAGTCAAGGACACCTGATTCCATTGGAGTGGCAAGCATGCAGAATATCTCCCACAACACAAATACAACACAAAACGTAAAAAATGTTGATGCACTGGGCCATTTGGATCGGATCCTACCTTGGCTTTGTCACCGTTGGGCAAGTTGACGGCAACTTGGTAGTCTGTGCCACGGCCATGGCCTTGTTGAGGCCTAGCGTGTTGTCGCTGCATCACCGTATGTCTCGCCATTCCTCCATTACTAGGCTGCAGTCCTGGCGAGCGACCACCAGAGTCCTCTCGACCGCCGCCGATGCCTTGAGCTTGATTGAAGGCGATGAAGTCGATGCTGTTGCGAGGAGTTCGCAAACGATTCGGGCCGCTTAGCGGCCTGCCCAATGACACGTCAGCGTGCTGCTGCTCCGTACCGTCCATTAGGAGACCAAGCAAGATCGGAGCAGCAGCCTCACTCTCAGTGAGAAGTCGGACACGGCTCAACCCCACACTACTACAGCAACATGATCACATTTTTTCCTCTTGACTCGAGACTTAGCCTTGGTTTGCTGCACTGACTGTGCACGGGCTTTGCATCACACTTGAGCTGTAGTTTAGTGTCTACATGTAGGCTGTACTGTCACTACCGGCCACCCAGCACACAGACTCAGTCAGTGATCAGGTGATACACACACAGATAAAAATGATTGTGTGTAGATCTACCCGTCTAGTCTGTGGTAGTGTGGATGTATCAGTGCATGATGATCAGCCTACAGTACTCATAATCATGATATTGGTCACGGTCATACCGATCTGCTGAGCTTAGTCTTACTCTTATTATTTTATATAAAATTATTATTACTCTTACTCTTAGTCTTACTCTTGCTAGTCTCTCTTAGTCTTACTACTAGATCATGTCACTCATTAGATGCATTACTGAACTGAGTCAGTGAGAGCATCATACAGTGCTGGCAACTGAAATCCGACCCCCTGAGCTCACATCGCAAAGACCCAATACGGGATGGTAAAACTACCAAGCAGAGACCGCTAGAATGTGAACCCACCGCTCAGGGGGTCGGATTTCAGTTGCCAGCACTGTACGAAGTGATTTGGCATTTTTTAACATTTGGCACTTTTTAACAAATGTGTAAAATTTGCTTTTCTTCTGGCTGTTTCTCTGCTCCGGATGGCTGTATCGAAACATGGGTGGTGGCAAATGAGAGCAAATTTATCGTAGATCAACATTGACCAGAAAATTTGGTGCATATAATTTAATTCCCCCTGCCATGTCGTGGTGGGTGCTTTGCCATTGTGTGTAAATGTGTCAAATAAGCCCTTGAATGGACGAGGAGGGCAGCGAATTTCTTCCGCAGGGCCTTTGGACGACGTCAGGCCGTCTTGCCATCACTAAAGACAACAATGAAGAACAGTAGGTCACAGAATACACTCTGTGAGAACGAAAACATGGCTGTGATTTCTATGCTACCTATCCAATTCTACCGTATGACACAGCCACTAGTTACAAATACAAAAACACGGCTTTGCGGCAGCATACAATGCAGTTGACAGATTCATTTTAAATCCACTAGCATTCCTTGAAGTGATATCTATCAACTTCAGAACATTGATGACCGAATATCCCAGTTTGTGATGCCATTTTACAAATTTGTTAAAAAATGACACACCAATTATTTGAACCCTGAGAATACTATGAAAGTAGGACATGATTAAAAACACTTTCCAAAGTGGGATCATTCCAATTTTTTGAGACAACGGGCATGAAGGATAGCACTTCCACTTGCAACAATTCATTTGGACGTAGCTTGTCTAGAAGTGGCTGAAAAAATGTCATTTTACAACCATGTTAAAAAAAGCCAAATCACCTCGTACATCGAGCCAGCACGAGATCATTTCCAGATCATAGCCATAGCCTAGGCATAGGCCTACGACTACTTCCCAGATCTTACTGTGTGCAGCTACACTGCCTACACTGAAAGTGAAAGTCTGAATTATCTGTCTTCATGAATCATGGTCTTTGTAGTCAGGTGGGGCATGACCACTGCACTGTACATGATGTACTCAGTACATGACTTGTACTAGTACTATGTCTGTAGTCGACATGTAGTGTAGATGTTCTGACTCTGCTATGTGTGTGGTGCAAACCATGCAGTGGCAAGCGCCATTCACTGCCACTGGCAGTGGAAGTGCCAGATGCAACTAAAATACTTCAACAGTTCAAGCAGTGCACCGACGATGGGGACTTCCGTGCACCAGTGTAGTACACCAGGGTGCACGGCCTACTCACCAGCTTGTACTTGAACTTGGGGTTCAACTGGAGACAGTGGAGTGTCAGAGAGACCACGAAACACAAACTCTCCTTCCCCAAGACCACAGTGAGTCAACTATGCAGTCTTGGTACTATGCAGTCTTGGTAGTCTAATGTCTGTCTGTATGTTCATGTCTGTCTGTCTATCTGCCCCCCCTCTCTCTCTCTCCCTCTCCCTCTCCCTCTCCCTCTCCCTCTCCCTCTCCCTCTCCCTCTCCCTCTCCCTCTCCCTCTCCCTCTCCCTCTCCCTCTCCCTCTCCCTCTCCCTCTCCCTCTCCCTCTCCCTCTCCCTCTCTCTTTCTCTCTCTCTCTCTCTCTCTCTCTCTCTCTCTCTCTCTCTCTCTCTCTCTCTCTCTCCTGTTCGGACACATGCCGGCATATCTAATTGCTTCATAACTGTTCAGGAAAGGTACAGCTGCAGCACGGAACTTACGAGGGCAGGAGATGGAGCGAATATTTCCAGGCAAGATATTCCAGCAAAGCACACCCTGGAAAGCGAAGGTTCTCTTTCCTGAGTTGCTGCGTGCGGATGTCAGGTAGAGACCAATGTGAGAATCCAGGCCCATGGAACGGCGACAAGCGGGCAGGAGGAGGACCTGAAGCTCTGGATATGCTTTGCCATACCAGTAACCTACAGCGCCAATCCAGGAATGCACGTTTTTGCTTATGCATCTCAGATACGTGAAACACTGAGAGCCGCTCTAGGAGGTCATGGGCTGATGTCCGTGGTGGTCGTCCGAACACTACCCGTGCGCCACAATATTTTGCAGGACTTGGTCTCGGTTGTAGTGTTTAACGGCCAGAGATGTCGATATTTATCAACGATAAAGCGTTGGACTCATACATGAGGCTAGGCATGCATGAGGCTAGGCATGATGAGGCTAGGCATGATGAGGCTAGGCATGATGAGGCTAGGCATGATGAGGCTAGGCATGATGAGGCATGATGAGGCTAGGCATGATGAGGCTAGGCATGATGAGGCTAGGCATGATGAGGCTAGGCATGATGAGGCTAGGCATGATGAGGCTAGGCATGATGAGGCTAGGCATGATGAGGCTAGGCATGATGAGGCTAGGCATGATGAGGCTAGGCATGATGAGGCTAGGCATGATGAGGCTAGGCATGATGAGGCTAGGCATGATGAGGCTAGGCATGATGAGGCTAGGCATGATGAGGCTAGGCATGCATGAGGCATGCATGAGGCTAGGCATGATGAGGCTAGGCATGATGAGGCTAGGCATGATGAGGCTAGGCATGCATGAGGCTAGGCATGATGAGGCTAGGCATGCATGAGGCTAGGCATGATGAGGCTAGGCATGATGAGAGAAGACAGAATGGAGGGGGGGACTATTTTAAAAGATGAGGGTGTGTGGAGAATACTAAGATGGAAGCAGAAGATGTTCATTGTATGGATGTTCAGGGATAGGGGTGGAGGACGGACAGGAGCACGTGAATGCTAAACGGGATTCATGCATCTTGATAATTGTCCTTGGAGAGAGTCAGTGGCCCAAAGCCAATGGCTACAGCGAAGGTGATGGTGGACGTTTGCCTCGAAAGCTTGGAGGCTCTTGAGCTAGGAATGGCGGTTTGGTGAATAGGGAAGCCGGGAGTGTGTTCCCGTTGTCAATGACATCGAAAGGAAATGAACAAGAAGGGAATTGGGAGCAGTTGGGGGGGGGGGGAGGTGTTAGCAACTTGATATAGGAGGCCAGTGGTTTGCCAACATTGCCTATGTGGCACGGGCTCAACAGGGGCACTGAGGCGAGGTGAAACAATCGATGTGAGTAGAGGGAATCTGGCAGACACAGCAGCTTGTGCAGGAACGACAATGCTGCCACGGTCCGCCTTACCTCGAGGCTTTGCAGCAGCACATTGGGCCCCGGGATGTGCAGAGCCCGCCACTGAACGCGGCTAAGATGCCCGAGGTTGGTGGGAGAAGCTTCCATCCAGACATGGGGAGCGTACTCTAGCAGTGGTCCGACGAAGCCACGGTACAAAACAAGCTTGCCAGGACCATCCAGGACTAGAGCGACCTTGCGCAGCAGTCCAATTATGTGGGAGTTCGCCCGGGCGGCAGCTGTCCGGAGGTGGGCGTCAAAGGTGAGCTTAGAGTCCAGCGTGGCTCCCAGGAGCTTCAGTTGCTGCTGCTGCTGAGGGATGACCTCACCGCCAAACGTGGTAGCAGGCATGGGCCAAGGCTGCCGATGGCAGCAGATGTGGAGAAGCTGCGACTTGGAAAGCTCAAAGTTTTAACTTGCCGCTTCGATCCGCTACTCCCTAGTCGCCCCCCCCCCCTCTATAAAGAATCAAGGTACATGTACACGATTGTACATTTTCGCGACGAAGCCATTCATGAGCATTTTGATAATTGAACTCAGATGGTGAGCAAGTACAAGTAGGTATAACTATAAGAGAAAGGACCAAAATGTTACGAGTTATGACTAGTACTCTATTCTGTAGCGGTCGAGAGAATAATACACTGCAGTCAGATAGTGCGACAATTCGGCACAAAAATGACAGTGGTATGGAGACATTCAACGACTCTGACACCTAGCTAGGTCGTGCGAAACTACGTGTTGCTTGAAAAAGGAATACACTGGACTAACAGCAACAACTAAACAATCCTACTATAATCACCAATCATCTCTGCGGCATAGACAACACCAGAAGAGCACGCGCCTATCACCATACGTCTGGGCAAAGAAGGATGAAGGGAAGGCGTGCTGCATTCAATGAGTGGTGAACCGCAAAACAGTGGCCTACAGCAACAAAAGCAAAAGGTGCAACCTATGCTTTGCGCTGCAATCGCGCAAGCACCCAAGCACCTTTCTGTTTCTCTGAGCCAGCTGACCAGACCAGACCACCACCCCCACCCCCCCCCCCCTACGCGGTCAGCAAAGAGCAGTAGGCTCATTAATGCCTCAAAGAGTGAAATTGGAATAGTTTCCACGTCAATACTCGACACCACTTTGAAACAGCTCCGCCTCCAGCTGCAGATAACCACATGGAAAGAACACGTCTGCTGGGATATAGTGGCCCATGGTTTACAAACATACCAGACGAAGAAAGGTGCATATTCGTGTGTTTTGATATTGTGGATTTCTATCCATCGATCCCCGAAGATCCCCTCCAAAAATCTATCGAATTGGCCCGCCGTTACTCCAACGTCTCCCAGGAGGAGTGTGATATCATCTTCCACTCCA